TCAGACGCGCAGGCGCTGGCCACCGCGGAGCCTCCTGAAGCCACCAATCCCTCGGCCGCCGCCTGGTGGCAAGGTGGCGGCTCCGAAGGCGCCCACGACGACCCAGGACCAGCGAGGCAACGCCCTGGCGCCAGGGGCGTGGGCGTCGCCTCTGGGGAGCCCACGGAGTCCAGTGCGATGGCGCAAGCAACTGCTGGCCCAGACGAGCGCAAACTGCCCGACGGCTCCACCAGCCCAGCCGCAGCAGGCGCAGCCTCGGCCGTCACGCATACACACGCACATACACACGCATACACACACACACACGCACGCACGCACGCACGCACGCACGCACGCACGCACGCACGCACGCACGCACATACACACACACACATACACAAACAAACACACACACACACACACACACACACATATGCACGCACGCACGCACGCACGCACGCACACACACACACACACACACATTCACACACACACACACCTACACACGAACACACCCACTAACGCACATACGCACACACACACACACGCACACACGCACGCACGCACGCACGCACGAACACCGACACACACACACACACAACACACACACACACTGACACACACACACACACACTGACACACACACACATACATCAACACACACACGCATGCACGCACACGCATACCTACACATACACATACACACATACACACATACGCACACATACAAACAAACACATGCACACACATACACACATACACATACACACGGTCACACCTACACACCTACACACATACACGCATACACATACACACACAGGCACACAAACACACACACACACAAACAAACAAACACGCGCGCGCGTTGGACTGTTCTACGTGTCAAACTGCCAAGAGTCCGTACTCAGCATCTGCCATATGCTGTGCTATAGGTTGCGCCAGACACTACGCGGGTAATTAAATCGTCCGCTTGCAGATTCGATGTCTCAGTGCGTCTGCGATTGAATGCGCCATAGGTGGATCTGTCACTGGTTGCGCTGTATGCTGCGCCAGACACCTCCGCGGGCAACCAAATCGTGCGTTCCCATATTCGGTGGCCCTGTGGGCCTACCATAGACTTTGTCATGGGTGGGTCTGCCATAGCATGCGTCGCACGTTGCGCCAGGCACCCCGCGGGCAAGCAAGTCATCCGTTCCCAGAGTCGGTGTCGAAGTGGCTCAGCCATAGGTTGCGCCACAGGTGGGACTACCACCCCGCGGGCAACCAAGTCGTAAGTTCCAGCATCTGGCACGCATTCTACGATCTTTGTCGCCTTGCCACGGGGCACTGATTGAAGTGTCCTCAGGCCCCTTCGAATTCTCTGCATTGGTACTTGTAGATGCGGATCTCTTGGGATGCGTCGCGTGACTCCCAGGGATCGCCGCGCGGCACTTCCCGATGTTAACCATATTTGAACATAGTTTGGCATAATCTATATGTCAGACAATGTTGTTTGTCGATGCCGACGAGCTGCACGACGAGATCAGCATGAACATCGAGGAGCCAGCGTACGTCGTGTGTAATGACGCTTTGCATGCGGACGACACCATGCTCGTGAGCGCAGGCTGCTTGCCTTCGACCTCACAATCAAGGTGGGCAAGCAGTTCGGCCTTGACCCGAATCAGAGCAAAGCCGTGGTGATAAACATCAGCAGCGACGGTGTGGTACGAGATCCTGCCATGCAGCCAATCAAATAAGTACACCAAGCAGCGTAGTCCAGTGGGCTCTTGCACAGCAAAGCCAAAAGCAAACCAGAAGTTACGAGACGTTTGGGCGAAGCACGAGGTCTCTTTTCAGAGCAATGATCAAATGCTGGCACCAGACGGGCATTGCTTGAAAACCAGCCTGCTTGACACTGCTGCTGTCCCAAAGCTACTTATACAATCTGGAGTAACTGTGGCTACTACAAGCAGACCAGAATAGGCGGGAGAGCTTCCAAGTACCTCGTCTTTCCAAAGTATGCGGGGTACGACATGCGTGCTTCTCCAGAGTGTCGAAAGCCACGATTATGTCTATAGCGCGGGCAAGCCGTCTGAGCTAGATGTTGCGCAAGCGGCACGTCCACGCCTACGCGAAAATATGTTTTCGCGCGAAGTGTTTTGCCCCCGGGTCCCTTGCACAACCTCTGAGCCTCAGTCCTCAAGTCTGAGGGTTCGAGAAGGGCCCGGACCCAAACTTACCAAATCGTCTAGGGCGCGTGCGTCGCATGGCCCCTGGGGCGCGTCGCGTGGTCCCTGGGGCCTGGGGCGTCTTCTCGCACAACTTTTTGCGGGCCCAAGAAAACCCCAAGACGAGCCAAGAGGGCCCCAAGAAGACCCCAAGACGGTCCAAGAGGGCCCCGAGTCGTCGAAAAATCGCTCCAAGACGTCTAAGATGGCCTCAAGACGGCCCAAGATGCCCCCAAGACTCCCGAAGAGAGGACCCCAAGAGGCAAGCATCATTGATTTCCCTCGGGTGTCTGAAGGATGTTAGCGTTCCCACCTTTTCGGCTTTCCGACGCTCCAGGACGGCCCAAGAGGCCTCCGGAGGTCGCCTCCAGACGGCCAGTAGGCCTCCAAGAGAAAGCCCCAGAACGGCCCAAAAAGCCCCAAAACGGGCCACGAGGCCCCCAAGACGGCCCAAGAGGCCCCCAAGACGGCTCCAAGAGGGGGCCTGGACGGGGGACCCGCATGGACATTTCAAGCCCTCGGCCCTGGGAGGCCACCTGGAGGCCCCAAGAGGTCCCCAAGGAGACCGCCAAGAGCTCCCAGGAGGCCCGCAAGAGGCCCCCAGGAAGCCCCAAGAGGCCCCCCATGAGGCTCCCAAGAGGCCCCCAAGAGGCCCCCAAAACTGCCCCCAAGAGGCCGCCGAGAGCGCTCCGAAGAGACCGCAAGAATCCTCCCTGAGGACTCTGGCCCACACCACAGGCACAGTGGCGGCATGGGCCGAAGGCCACTCGACATGCGTAGCATGGGGACGGAAACTGTCTGTACTTTAAGAGCGCAAGAGATCGATGACTTGTCCGCTATTCCTCTTCTTTCACAGATTCCCCTTGCCCCTATCTCATCCTATCGTGGCTTCCCTTACCCCTGCTCTCTTGACTGGAGGGTCGCGCTGTGGCCTTTTTCCTGACCCCGGTGGACTCGGGGAGTGCGGGCACCGATTGAGAGCCTCCGCGCCTCAGGCCAGCAAGGAGAAGAGCGGTGAGAAGGGAGGGAGGGCACCCACCTGGCCCAGTCCATCTCTCGCTCAGGGGGCGGCCTTGGGCACCTTATCCAGCACCTTGTAGAATGGCTCGCCCACGTCGGTCCACTTGCGCTCGAACCAGACCTGGTTCATCTTCTGGTTCCACTCTATGCCCCTCGGCCTCCTCTCCAGGCGGCTCACTGCGCGGAGCCCCCCAGTGTCTGGGGACAACTCCAGGTCGCTGGCCCCGGGCCTCGGCGCCAACGCCTTGAACTTTTCGATCCTCTGGTCGCCCACGGAGGCCGCGTCGCACCTCATCAACACGTGGGCTCGTTCTTCCTCCGGGATCCCCACAATGAACTCCTCGAAGAGTGGCAGGGAGGGGAAAGCGAGGACGTTGACCTCGCCGTTGAACCAGCCCGCGAAGGCGGAGAGGGCCCTCCTCATGCGTGGCTGGTCGGCCATACCAGGTCTGTCTAACACTTCAATGACCCACACTTCCCTGATGCGAACGCCCTCATCATACTGCAGTCGGTTCAGAAGCTCCCAGTCAAAATAGAGGAAGCCACAGGCCAGGGTACAGTAGATCAGCCCCTCACGTCTGGCTGCGCCCTCGAACCGCTCCTTGATCTCCTGTACAGCAAGCTCCCTGAAACCTGCCCGCAGGTTCTCCCTGCCTTCTGTCCGCAGGTTCTCTCTGCCATCTATCAGGCGGGAAAGTGGGCAATTGCCACATTCACCAAGCTCCGAGAGAGGATTGCGAAAGCCTGCAATATACTTGGTGGGATGGACATCACCATCTGTTAAAACGAGCTCCAAAGTCCCGTTAGCGAGTGCCTGCTTCACAGCTTTGCGAACGCCCGGGACTATAATTGTTGGGGCCACGGTGAATCGTTCCTGCGGACCTGCCCTGATATCAACCGCATCCGCCAACAGCTCGTCACTGGCTGCGTCGTTTGCTTCGTCCTCGTATTCGAAGAGGTCGTCGATCTGCGCCAAGAGGTCTCTGAAGGTCGCGATGTCGATGCAGTCACCGTCACCCTTCGGAAGCAAGGCCCACACGTTTTCAAGCTCTGCCTTTGCGAGCTCGCCCTCGTCGATTAGATCAGCAACCTCAGAGATCTTGAGCAGACCCTCGAAGGGGAGAAGGCCCTGCTCGTCCCAACCCTCCTGGAAAAGCCTCCCCACCTCTGCTCCGCTGCGCGCCATCTCTTCTTTCGTCCGAAACGTCAGGGCATTCGAGGTCAGTTTCTCCTCGTAGAGCTCGTCGGCCTGGTTGAAGAACTCGCAGAAACCCTCCAAGGCTGCAGGGCCGACGCGGCCCCAGAGCACCCAGAGCTCCTCCAGCGAGACCACCTCCTCCTCCACCATCTGGCCCACGATGCCGATGCGCGTAGCCTCCGGGAACGTCACGAGCCCTCGCCCCTCGCTGGCCTCCTCGAAGAACTGCAAGACCTCCTCGTACTCGAAGTCCTCGGGCATCCCCATGGCCGCCGACAGCTCTTCGGACGACACCGCGCGCCGGCCGCCGTGCCTCCGCCCGGGCAGCGCGGGCCGTCGCGGAGGCCCCGCGGCGCGCCACGCGGGCGGAGGCCGCAGGGCCAGCGCCGGGGCCGTCGCTCGGACGGCGAGGCGCCCCGACCGAGGGGCCCACGCCAGGGCCGCGGCAGTCGCGGCCGCCACCGCCAATGCGGTGGGCCCCTGGCGGCGGCCCATGCCGTCAGGTGCTCGGGAGGGGGGGGGGAGCGCCAGAGCGGCACTCTCCAGCTCTGACGCGAATGCCTTGGGCCAGCACGGCGACTGGAGCCAAAGTGGCTACGGACGCACTGTGGCCCTTTCTGTCGTGCTCTGGGCTTCCGGGTGAGCCTCTTGGGGCGCTCTTGGGCCCTCCTTGGGCCGTCAATTGAAGCTCTTTTGGGCCGTCGTGAGGCCCTCTTGGGCCGTCTTGAGGCCCTCTTGGGAGCCTCTCGGGCAATCTTGGCGCAATCTCGGGGACTTCCAAAGCTGTCTCGGGCCGTTCGTTCGTGGCCCGAATTGGCGAGAAGGTCAGAAACGTCCAACAACCAAAAGCAAATCGTCATACTAAGGCCATCTTGTAGCGTCTTGGAGCGATCTTGGGACTTCTCCGAGCGTTGTGGAGCGCTCTTGGACTGTCGTGGAGCGCCCTTGGGCCATCTTGCACCATCTTGGAGCGCTCTTGGCCATCTCGCAGCTCTTGGAGCGCTCTTGAGCCATCTTGGACCGCCTTGGCGCGCCTGTTGCTTCATCAGGCCGTCTAGGGAAGCCTCTCAGGGCATCTTCGCTGCCTCTTGGGACGGCTTGCTGCCATCTTGGGCCTCTCTTAGTCCGCCTTGGAGGTACCTTGGTCTGACGAGAAGCTTACGCGCTGCTTACGCGGAGCTTACGCGAGCTCACGCAAGCTTCCGCGGAGCTTACGCATCATTGCACCGGCCTTGCAGACGTGTTTCAGCGGATGTCTGCGTGAATTTGTCCCAGTGCAACACCCCGAAATGGAGAAAAAAAACGACGTCAATTTCACGTGGATTTGTTCCCAACCATCCAGTGGTGTTGGGTCCTCGTTTTGAAGAGACAGCGCCCCGCGTTCCTCCCGCTCCTCCTCCCCCTCCTCCCCCCTGTGCCCGCATGCGTCCCGCACACCCATTTCGGCACACCCCTCACACGCTTCGTGGCCCCATAGGCAGCTCCACCGAAGGCCCCCGTGGGTGTGCCCGCATGCGTCCCGCACATCCATTTCGACACACCCCTCACACGTTTCGTGGCCCCATAGGCAGCTCCACCGAAGGTCCCACCGGGTGTGCCCGCATGCGTCCCGCACACCCATGTCGGTAAACCCTTCACACGTTTCGTGGCCCCATAGACAGCTCCACCGAAGGTCCCTGTGGGTGTGCCCGCATGCGTCCCGCACACCCATGTCGGCACACCCCTCACACGCTTCGTGGCCCCATGGGAGCTCCACCGAAGGTCCCAGTGGGTGTGCCCGCATGCGTCCCGCACACCCATTTCGACAAACGCCTCACACGCTTCGTGGCCTCATAGGGAGCTCCACCGAAGGTCCCAGTGGGTGTGCCCGCACGCGTCCCGCACACCCATTTCGGTAAACCCTTCACACGTTTCGTAGCCCCATAGGCAGCTCCACCGAAGGTCCCTGTGGGTGTGCCCGCATGCGTCCCGCACACCCATTTCGGCACACCCCTCACACGCTTCGTGGCCCCATACGGAGCTCCACCGAAGGTCCCAGTGGGTGTGCCCGCATGCCTCCCGCAAACCCATGTCGGCACACCCCTCACACGCTTCGTGGCCCCATAGGGAGCTCCACCGAAGGTCCCGTGGGTGTGCCCGCATGCGTCCCGCACACCCATTTCTGCACACCCCTCACAAGTTTCGTGGCCCCATAGGGAGCTCCACCGAAGGTCCCAGTGGGTGTGCCCGCATGCGTCCCGCAAACCCATGTCGGCACACCCCTCGCACGCTTCGTGGCCTCATAGGGAGCTCCACCGAAGGTCCCAGTGGGTGTGCCCGCATGCGTCCCGCACACCCATGTCGGCACACCCCTCACACGTTTCGTGGCCCCATAGGGAGTTCCACCGAAAGCCCCAGTGGGTGTGCCCGCAGGCTTCCCGCACACCCATGTCGGCACACCCCTCACACGTTTCGTGGCCCCATAGGCAGCTCCACCGAAGGTCCCAGTGGGTGCGCCCGCATGCGTCCCGCACACCCATTTCGGTAAACCCTTCACACGCTTCGTGGCCCCATAGGGAGCTCCACCGAAGGTCCCAGTGGGTTCGCCCGCATGCGTCCCGCAAACCCATGTCGGCACACCCCTCACACGTTTCGTGGCCCCATAGGGTGCGCATGGGGTTAGAGTACAAAGGTACAGAACCCCTGATCCGTTGGTAGAGGAAAAGAGGGAAAGATAGATATTTGTTTCCTCCTGCGCGATCAAAGGTCTGATCGATCGAATCCAATACCTGAGCCCAAACGGCCAGGCGCAGGAGAGGCGAGGATAAGGAGTATATATGAGGGTATTATACGGGTTCTATTCGCACCCCCCGTCCCGAATCCCGCCCGCGAGGGCGGGACTCGGGAAAAGGAGAAAGAACCTGTCACCCTTTTATTCCTCAAATACTCAGCGCTGCGGGGCAGCTGAGCGTGACATCTTTATCGCTTCAGCTGCGCCCCAATCACGACAGCGGCGTGCAAAAGGAAACGCAGCACAACGGCTGTCACGATTAGGCATGTAAGGGTAAGAAGGAACACCCAAAGTCCCAGTTTCTTCGCCAAGCACGCGTTGCCCCCCCCTTCGGTGCGCCCCCAAAAAACGCTTCGGCACTCGAGGGCGGAGAAGAATGAGACACGGGCGGGCGGAGCAAGAGGATCTGATCAAGTTAAAGCAACATCAGAAGCTGCCGCGCCTGAGAGCGGCAGGTGTTGCCACCAGCTCTCAAACTAGAGATGGGCGCCAGATCATTCTCAACGCAATATTATTATATTGTAAAGAATAAGCAAAAACATGCAATATCGATTCGTGTTGGGAAACACGATCGCGTTAATAAACACGTCTTAATACTCAAAGCAAATGTCTGGCCAGACGTAAAGTCGCGCTGACAAGCACGAAAAGGTGCATAAATAAAGTATGCATTTGGTTACTCCCCTCGGCGGTGCCCCTTAGGAGTCTGCCTTGGGTTTCACAAGTATGAGCGTGGCCACTTTTCTTGAACAGTGAAGCGGCCTAAAATTACATTGTCATTCACTGCTCGAGGCGAACTTGTATAAATATGAAGTTCAAGCCAATCGAGCGGTGGGCCTTGCGGTCGACTAAACTACGAATTTCCTCTCATGTAGAACCCCGGGCCCCACGCACTGTGGCCATCATCCGCGACGTAGCTCGTCGTGAATGTCTCCCAGGGCGCCCTGGGCGCCCAGTTGGGAAACCTGTCGTTGTTGCGCAGGTCACGGGCGCGCACGAACTCGCCGCTGCTGTCCGCGATGCATATCCAGCAGTTTGCGTAGTAGGCCCAGTACCTGTGGCCCCACTGGCTCTCCTCCAGGTTCTTGCGCCACCACGTCGCGTAGTCCTCTGTTGTGCGCGCCCGCTTGGCACGTGGAGGCGTTGTTGGCCTGCGGATGGCGTCGCTGCTCTGCCGCTGCGCGGCGGCCGCGCCGCGCGGCCCAACGGGCATGTTATCCTGCGCGCCAGGGGCGCGGGATCCAGCGGCATCGCCATGGGCAGGGCGAGGCGGCGGCGGGCGCCGCGGCTGCCGCGGCTCCATGGCGCCATGTGTATGTGAGGAGTGTGTGTCGGGGTCGTTAGGGTCGGTTCTAACCCCTGAACTCACCCCCCTTTGGTTAGCAGATCCCATGGCAGGTTCGATGGAGGCCAGTTTGGCAAGCTTGCGCTGCGCGACTGTCTCACGAGTGCCGCCCCCGCGGGGCAGGGCAATTGTGATAAGACCGCGCTCTTGCCTAGTGACTCGAGTCTACCAGCGCTCAACCACCGATTCCTGCGACCAGCGAAGCCAAGCCTGACGCTGTGATCATGAATGTCACAAGCGTCGCGCATGTCTTCGATGGTCCAGGCCTTTTTGCCAGTCTCAGCGCGAGCGGCAGTCATTTGGCGGTGGAAACGTGGGTCATTCAGGAAACGCTGAACGAGATTGGCGAAGGGGTGGCATAGAGGTCGGTCGTCTTCAGTCTCGCCCATCAGCCTGCACATGTGTGCAGGAGGGGAGCCTGCGTTAAACCACCTCTGATACCTCTCCGCAGCTTTCTTCGCGAATCTCCTCAAGGTATCCTTCTCCTGACCAGCTATGGAGCGCTTGCCCATCATGTAGACACGCGCTCCATCTGCCATGTACCTGGTGACGTCGTCCTGGGAGAGGTTCGTCTTGATCCAGTGGTTCAACTGCTGGAGGTGTGCCAGGTCGCTCTCCACGGCGCCACCTTGGCCTGTAGCACCTACTGAGACAGTGTACTGCCAGCAGATATCACAAATTGGACCGTCACCTGCGACGATTCCCAGAGACAAGAAACGATCGCAATTCCGACATCGCGCTATATCATGCTGGATCTCTTCAGGAGCCCCAGAGGTAGCAAGGTGCCCAAGAGATCCCCAGCGGGTGATGCCACCGTCAGTGGAAGCAAGACCACGGCCGATTTGGTTCATTGCCTCACGATGGATCTCAGCGGACGGACGGGAGGCGATCGGTCGGCCGATCCCCTCGATCTCCATCCTAGACAGTCTTTCCCCCGTCAGTCCGGCGTACCCGGAGGTGTCGGTGTCCGCAGTATCAGTATCACCATGGTGTACGTTGTCCGTACGGATGCGGGTAGCCTCTGCCTGCAAGATGGCCTCGTTATCGCCCACCTTGCGGTCAATCTTCTGTGTCTCGGGATCTGTACCATGGTCTCTTGGTCGGGAGCAGCAGAAGCAACGCTACCTGGATCCCTGGGGATATCCTGGCTGGCGCCTGGATCGTCCTGGTCAGGCGCGGCAGGCGTTTCCACCGGCTCCTTCCATACGGGGAAGCCTGGGTTGCCATGTGTCCTGATGCATTGTGCGAAGAAAGCACGCAACGTATTGAGGGCAGGATGGTTCTGATAGATGGCATCGTTGGTGAACTGATGTAGCTCCTTGATGCTGTCCAACAGTATGATTTGGTACACTTTGGAAATCCATTGAAAAATGCCCGTGGTCGATTCTTCAATAATCTCTGGGTCAAGGTAGTGTACCATCTTGTTGAAGAAACAATCAGCACTGCAAATCGGTAAGTCGCGTGCCCATTTGTGGGTATGATCG